CCATCTGTGTTATACCCAACGTTTCTCTCTCCCTCTCGCTTATCCAGTGTTGCTTACTTTCGGACCTGTTCCGAATATATCCCCCCTCACCCCAGCTCCAAGGTCAGGAGCGACCAAGGATGTTCGAGTTCGACGTCGAGTACCCAAATACACAAGGTGGGAGCTTCCAATACATGGGTGATTCATTGTGGTGTATTTGGTCAGATTTGCAGACTAGAAGTGAATTCGTGATGTGAGTCCGTCTGGTTAGAATGTATAGTCCTGGCTCACATATTGGCTAGCCTCTAGGATGGCGGAGCCCAGGGTCAGCCGTCACGTTGAGACCCGTCCCGAAATTGTTACCCTTCCCCCTGAAATGCACCTCTAACGAGACTCTCCAAGAGCCGATCTTGTTGATAATGTCCTTGAATCTGCTCCATTTCGACACATGTCGAAGCTACGCACCAGAATTCAGAAACTCGTCGAGAGGAAGCCGTAGATACATCTATTTGTGTCCGGCAGCCTTCTTCATTTGGAATGTAGACTTACCGTCACATATGGCATCGAGTAGTTGATGGCATCAAAAATCACATGACTTGTTCGAGGTTTCGCTAGGTGAGCTACAGATTCAACAGTACAGCAGTAATCCAAACGGCGATGGTCTCGAAACAATCAATGCTGTCTGTCATTTTTGATTCTAAGAATTATTATATGATGCGCCTAAGTGGTGTTAAGTCTGCATTACAGACACACCTGGATGTTGGATACATAGAGTCTAGCGTTCAAGCTTCGAACGACAAACTTTTTTAAAATTCCTCCAATTTGTGGCTTCTTCCACTAACAAAAATTTAGTTCCTTCTATATCCTACCAAATATGCGAATTTTCTCCATTTACAATCTCTCACTGGAATTCGTACGACCCCTCCCCCCCGCCTGCCGTCACGGCGAACGGTTGACCCTATCCGCAGCTATCATGAGGCGCTTCAGGGTGCGCTTGATCGGAACTCGTTTGTTGCCCAATAGCCGCAACCCCCCACCCCCGCCATCCTTTTCCTGGCCTCCATTGAGACCAATTAAGAAGGTGGTGGATGATTTATAATTTGGCTTTGTACTGAGGTCGTGCTATTCTGCATCATTTTGATTTTCAACGCTGCTATGTTAGTGGAACCTAGGAGGGCCTTCCAGCGAGCGAGCCAGTACCCGTAAGAGGTGAGCTTTCACTGAAATCCCAATGTGGATCACATACCTTCTGCAGTCATCCTTAGCGAATAGTGTTGCAATGAATTTCCTTTCTTTTCGTTATAGAAGTTTCCTATGAGTAATAGAATATCGAGAAGACTCCAGAACTTCATGTAACTCTTATCGACAGCTAAATCTCACCTTTTCAATGCGAAGACATTTAAAGCGCTGAGCGCGTTATGTTCTCCTTAAACCTCACGATTACTGGGTCAACAAGCTTTTTCTCTTACATGTGATTCTCAGAAAATTCCAAAACATTCTGCAAGAGTCATCTTTGGAAATGGTAAGGACTGTTTTCCTCCACCGCTGTGATCCACACATTTTCGAAATCTTTGAGAATTGGTTTTTGTGCACATACATGTGGTTGGGCGAAAGTGGTGTAATGGTAAGATGCGCTGCTTATCATGCTCACGGTCCGGGGATCATATCTTGAAGCGTACGCCATCCAGGTTAACAAGCGTTTGTTCTTCCAGGGTCGCTGAATCAGTACCAGATTTGTGTGTTAGGACTAAATGCGCTGACTTGCACATCGGCTGGCCCCTGCAAGTCATTGTGTGGGCCAAATCCCGTTCAAAATGCCACTACATTCTGAATGGAAGTAAAATGCGTGGCGCATCCCAAAAAGGGACCGATCAATATCGGGACTTTGTCCTTAATTTTTGTACAAATGGATCACTTTGCTGAAGTGTCTTTAGAGCTGAATTCTCAATTCTCAGGGTTCACAATCAGTGCAATTGGTAGCTGCCTGACTGTTTCTATTCCATGCGATGCCGTCCCTCGCTCCCTCCCCCATGTACTTGTGTTTACAGCCCGTTTATCAGAGTTACATGCTTTCACGGGCTGCTTTCTCAACAAGTAATCATGCGTTGTTCAGTATATTCAGCCGTATTGATTCATTTGAGGTTTGAGTGGACTACCAACTTCTGTACTCCCATGGAGCCACCTCTCGCGCACAGCGCAGTTATTCTCTATTTTCTTCCGTAATACTCCGAACCTTTTATCACCTCTGGTAGTGAAGAGCCATGTTTTTGCGTCATTGGCATAGATTTTGTCTGTTATAGAGCGCCATTTTCCTATTTTTGAGAAGTTCCCTGTGCATTACTGAACTGTTTCTAGTAGAAATGAGTCGCACTTGTTGGCTCGATCTCGGCGCTTCTTTTAGGATATAAGCCTCATCACTCAAGTATGACGTTGCTGCCCTCCGCGCCCAGTTGGTCATCATGGCTGTTTGTTTTGGCATGATTCAACATGGGTGTGTGTTCATGCGAGGCGCTGAGGAAGCGTGATACCGTAACTCAGTCGCAATCTTCCTGGTGCGCACCTCGCTCCCCGCGCAGGGTCGCATCTCGCCTCGTCGCCCGCGTAAGAACACACTCACCCCCAATCGTCAGTGTTTCATTCGTCCCGAGAGCGAAAACAGTCACCCATCATTCTAGGCCTATCTCTTCTCCCCCCACTTTCAGACCTCTATGGTGGCCCGTTTTACCTTGCCATCATTGTCTTGGCACTCACGACTACAGCATCAGGCGGTCATCAAATAGTCACCCCTGGCTCGTTCTCCCTCTCGCCCCTCCCCACGAACAGCCAGCTAGGCGCAGAGCATTTTCATGCACACGCCCATTTGCACTCCGCCCATCGCATGCACTCGTGTCAATCACTCGATTATTTGACGCTACCAAATACTCCATTGCTGATTCGAGAATTCAGCGTTATATATGGAGTGTTCGTGTTGGACAACGTTCACCATTGTTCGTGCCTCGTCCTCACTCGATAAAGTGCCGTCAGTGTGATCCTGCTTTCCCAATTCAAAGAATTTTGTGAATATTTTGTTCAGCTGGCTAATGTGATCTGTATTTGCAATTAATTCACTTTTTGTAAGCCACGATATCGTTAACCAGGAGTTTTTTGGTGGTAATTTGTTGCAGTTACGACATGAACCGATAGGTTCTCGACACGCAGCGCATTAGCGTTGCGCTTTATGGTTGTCGCAATATGCGCCACTGATGATAGTGATGCGCAATTGTTTACGCGTATCGCAGTAAGGAGGAACGGTTACGATGGTGGTTGCTTAACACCAATATAAGCATAAATTCAATTCCTTGATTACTGCATTGACATGCTATCACACGGATAGTCGCCAATGATTGAAGTGATCTGTTTGCGAGAACTCGTTAATACTCGTTGATGTTTAGAATTCGCGGCGCGTCAACCTATTTGACTTACTTAATCGCGAACGATCTTGTTGTATATTGGGAACAGAGGAGAGGTCGCTTTGCCGATGCTACTTGGTCGCTTCGTCCCGTCTCTTCCCCCTATCCGCACCACAGCGCCTGCGTACCGTCGCTACCTTACCTGCGACAACTGCGCTCATTGAAAACGTCATTGCAAACCTGTGGCACAGGTTATAAGGCGGTGCTGTTCATCTTCAACGGATCAGGCGCACCGGGTTTGGGGTGGGGTTGTTCAGATTAAGTGTGGACGTCTCTTGATGTCATCTTTTTTCGTAGCTAATTCCGATTACTCAAAATGTAGCAGACGCCGCAAGACCCATCCAAAGGAGAAGTGGTCGAGCTTTTTTTTGAAACATTTCCAAGTTCTTATCCAAAACGTGCTATCCTCGAACAGCTTTGGTTCAAGACATTGAGAAGCAATTCTTCTTGTTGGAATCCTTAGTCATGTGTTCATGCGCTTAAAGGAACCCTAACCGCTTAGGGACGTTGTAGTAACTAAGGCTTAAGTGGAACTCACTGCTTTGGGTCCATGCGAGAGTGACTCGTTGTGTAAACACGGAGTAACGACTCATCGGTGTCGTCCCTCAAATCTTCATAACGTGACAGTCTATAACTAACACTGGCTGTCACATTCGTTTTACGATACTGCTTCCAGAAGGACTTTCAAACATTCTTTGATTTAATAATATGTAATCACTTGTTTAGTACTATTTCCTATTTATTGTTGTTTTATTTATTGTGTATTACCTTAGAATATTTCATTTCAAATATAACATACGTTTTCAGCGATGTCTCGGTCATGATTGACCATGATCAAATCTTCGCTATCACCTCTTTATCTCTCATTCTCTCTCTTAACAATTGCGCCCGCGATTTAACCCAATCGCGTCTACCACTCTATCGTTTTTTCTGAGTCCACGCTGAAACTCACGTCGTCTCTTCGTTTCATTCGTCATTTGTCTCAATGTTCAAGCGATTCTCGAAAAGCGTACTTCATATCTCATCTGGCTAAGTGCACAATATGGTGATGGCATGTTCCTGATGCATGGATTTCATTTGTAATTCTCCCCTTGACTCGTTTGTTTGACCTGCTTCCTCATTGCCAAGCATAGCTAGCTCATGTCATATTGATGGACCAGTGGAATCCCCCTGGATGGTTGTGTACCAGTGGTGCTCTTACAGAGGTCTTCTGTATGCCGCAGCTTTTCGCATTGCGACACCGATAGGCTTGCTGGTTGATGGCGAGTCGCGCTGTGAATCTTGCTGATATGTAAATGAGTTTCGTATGGTACGCCCCGAGGCGGGGAGGGGCGTGGTGTGGCATTCGGCGGAATCCGTAGTCGAACGTCGTCTCTGCGCACCGTTGCGGTGTTGAGATAATCGCTCCAGCAATCACTCGTTTGTCCCTCCTATTCTTACTCTTGCTCCTACTGTTCGTATCGTTCCGTTCGAATCGACGAGTGTGTTAGCTGTCGCTTGCCATCCCTCGGTCCTGCCTCTTACATCCCTCTGATAACCCGTCACTGATAACTCGCATATTCTCGTTCAGGCATCGGCGACGATAAGGAGCAGAGCGAAAGCGAGTTCACGGCGCGCCCATGCACCATCGCTGAGACCAAACTTTACAACGACGAGCCTCTCTCTCCCCTTCGCCTCGAAATGAACCACCATCAGCCGGTTGTCGTCAATTCACTGCTCTGCTTTATCCATAATTTTCGCGGCAATCCACAGGTGCGTAACCTAGTCGCTGAGTATTTCCCGAAGACGGCGATCGCTGAGGCCAAGAACATTTTGTGCTCAAAAGTGGCTGATGAGACGACGTCATCAGTGCCAGAAGACGTGTTCGACCTCTACGATCTGTTAGTGACCAGAGAAGAGCAAATGCAATTCGCCGCCACTGATCTCACCATTTTACCGTTGGCATTGCTCTCTAAGGACGAGGATAAAAACGAAATCATGCGCGAATTGAAAACACTTCGAACATTCATCTCAGATGCGCTTGACGGTCGTATCGAGGATACACCTCAACCAAGGTAAACATTGCTGTAATTCTGCGCTAATTATCTTATCATCACGACGTCAATTGAAATGTGTGATTCAGTGTGCGTTTCAGGGAGACACCTACACCAACGGTGCGATGCAAACTGAACACGTCGGCTTCATCGCCAGAGTTCCCTGTTGTTCATATTCCGGTTTGTTCACGTCTTTGATCTGCTTTTGATATTGACGTTATCACTTGGAGATACCTGGTCTCTGTTCTTAAAATTTGTGGCATCCATTCTTTTGTTGGGACTTGAATTCGTCGATGAGCGCTCCTGTGCTGGTGCACATGCATGCTGGGAACGGTCATGAGTCGAACTCGTCTGCTTTTTTCCAACCTCTGATTACAAAGTCTATTGATTGCTGCAGCGATCAGTAGTTGACGAGTGAATGAATGAATAACAGAGAAATTCAAGGTTCTTCTGAATTCAGGCGACAGCTCCATGTGAAAGTCCGAAACCGTTGCTGTCTTCATCTCCGGTGAACAACAACGTCTCTCAACAATCTCTGCAAATGGCTTTAGCCCAACGACAGGCAACGGTCGCCAGTCCAGCGCACAGTCATCAATCAACGACAGTAGAGGTAGTCAAATCATTTCTGTTGAGAACACATTTAATTTTATTTATTTGTAAAAAAAATGTCACGAGTACTTATTCGTGTGTGTGCGTTAGTGAGGTTTTGTGTTGTGGAAAAGTTTGGCATTTCAAGCCTCAGTATGGAGTGTTGAGAATGTGGAATGTATCAGTTGATTGGCGATATCCTCGAAGTGGCTGCGATCTGTTTTTCTGATCGGCTTGCCTCGGCGGTTCGTCGTTTTCTGACCGCTAATCGAGTGTCCTTGCCGCGCTTAGCGTATCAGTTCATTAATTGATTACCGCCCTGTTTTGATATCGATCTTAAACTCTGAATAATTATTTCCTCTAGCGATCGCACGCCATAGAAGATGTGATATTGGCGAGTAAATGTGTAAATGTCGCCAAACGCATATGAAAATTCCTCTAAATGGCGCAGTGTCACCTACAATTATTACTAAGTAGGCTAAGGTGATTGCGTCAAAGTGAGCATGAGTGTCAAGTCGATAACGATCATCGGAGCAGCGTCAGGCGACGACTTTTGCATTTGCCACGACGGCGATGACGGTGAAACGGCGATCCGCTGCCTGTCTCGCTTGCTGCTTGCCGATTTTGTATTGCCTGCCTTCGAGGCGAGAAGCATCCCCGAAACTCTCACGCTGTATTGATTATATATAGAGAACGAGTGTTGATTTTGGTTTGATGCCAATTCACACTGTAGCCGGCATATTCCGTTTAGGAACACCGGCTACGATAAAAAGCGAAGCTGACGCAGCATGTTCCATTTTGCATTTTTCAACGTGTTCGCCTTCGCAAATTCCTCTCGTTGTCGTGATGTGGAGATTTTTGAAATCGTGCGCTCACTTATACGTTGGAATCGCTCAATGAAATGTACGAGCAAAGATGGATATTTGGGGGAAAAACAATGTGAGAACACGTGAACGCTGAAGGATGCCGCAATGATCATTCAGTTTCAACTTTTTCTCTTTTATAGAATGCGAAACGAAAAGCTGGCCGAAGTCTGGATGCCACCGTACGAAAGTTGAGTGAAAAACGAAAAGCCGAACTCGAAGAGCCGCCACCACCACCAACGGTTACACCGTATCAACCACCAACGCTTGATCCGCAAGCGTATCTGAATATGATACGAATGATGCAAACACCTCAAACGTCGATTTTCAACAGTGTCATCAATCAGATGTGGGTTCTTTTCAAATCGGAACATCTCAAGCTTTTCTTATCACATTTGTCGTTTCCGACTTTTTTCGCTACCCATTGATCTTATCGCTTTTTTCCTTGGGTTATGTTTTGAACATTCGTTTGCCGCTTGACATCTTGAACTGTTTTTTTTTCAACAGTTGCCCAACCCGGCGAGTGCGGAATCCTAGATTGCCTATCCCTTCATTGTTTGGATTCTAGGGCTTGGATTCGATTCTTGCGCTTGATAGCATAGCGAGCTGAAGTGTGTTGGAATTCAGTTGGCATTTGTTGAGGAGTGTGCGCGCCTTTGCTTCGCCTTTTTCACTCGAAGGGGATGCTGAGTCATGTATATTGAATAGCATAAAGCCTCACGTACAGACGGAGCGAACGGACGGCGGCGGAATTCGCATGAGAGTGCACCGTCGGCAGTAGCGCTTCGTTAGATGAGGAGCATCGCTTATGTAAGCGTTATGTAAGTGAACATTTGTGTGTAAACATACGTATAGGCACTTCCGGTGATTTGCTAGTAGTGGGTTAGTGACTGGGAGTGTGTGTATGCGGTCGTCGCGGTTACCGTATTCCAGCACCAGAGCGCGAGCGCGAGCGCAGTGCTGCGTGTTTGTCAAGTGATACGGTGTCGCCTCTCTCGCCTCTCACCTCGCGAGTTCATTGGCTTGTGGTTGTAAAGTAGTGCGACATCTCTCCCATCGTCGTGCACGATAGATGGACGAGCGGAGAGAAACGGGAGGGGGCACACAACAATGTAGACAGGGGGGTTGTCACGTCCTCAACGTGTCCGTTTCTCAGGCACCATTTATGGTAATATGCGCGAAGCCCTCCGATGCAGTAAGCGCGTGTGGCACGCCAGCGGTCGTGGTGTGGTTGCTTGGTAGGTGACAGTCTGACATTAATCGGGTTGCGGAAGCTGACACAAAATTTGATAGTTCAAGCCCGTTCAACCGTGAAGCGAGAGTTTTGTTGGAATCCAAGGAATTATGGAAAATTATGTTGTAGCCTTTTTTCATGTGTTGATCGCGTGTGGAAAGGTGATAGAGGCAACTAAAGATGACGCAGGCCAAGATAGGTTTCAGTATCTGAAGCGTGACTTGTGGGTCGAGCAGCTAGAAGGTATTATAAAGAGAGGTCATGATAACCATATAATAGCACCATCACTATAACCGCCACCACCATCAAACCACCAAGCACCAACACATCAGAGACCTCTCCTTTCATAGAGGCAGTGTCGTGTCGTTCACTCTGATTATCGAGATGATAAATCAACCTTGTTGGGGGATGCGATTCCGGTTCCTTCGCACCTCATGCAATTCATCACACATTGCCAGACGTCTTCCTCGCCAAGTACACATGCACATGAGTGTGTGTGTGTGTGTGGTGTGTGTGACGATCAATTCATGACCTGCTCTATGAGTACAGTTCTATTCGTCCAGAAGGGCAGTCGAGGATACCTACATTGAGAACGGAAACTGAAACGGAGGGATGTCAAATGATTTACAACAACGCATTATCTCCTTTTTTCTTCACGCACTCTGTCGTGTCTCTTTATTGAACTTCAACGTATTGATTTATGCAATGAGGGCGGAACGTCGGAGGCGAGGATGGCGAAAGTAGCAAGCTATTGTATAAGCGGGGCTTTCTTTTTCTGTCATGATCAGGAAGGGGCTGGAAAGGTTTAAAGGTCCAAATACGACGAAAGGGTCTCGTGAACTGTTCCCATATGGACAGACCGACTCACCGACAGTAGTCATTGTATTCACATTCGTACCTATGCAATGCCTGTGTGAATCAGTTGCGAGGTCTTTCACGCCGTGTTGTGTGAAAATGCGGTAATTCTTTGGCTTCCTCTTCCAGCGAGTTCCGTGCCGTGCTCTTTGGTACGCTAGGCTATTGCTTTTAAGGTCACTGTTGCTTTTTCCTGCTGGTTTCAGTTGGAAGAAATCAACAGCTATACTATGCCTCAATGTAAATCCATTGTGAGGCTTTTAAGGTCAATTTAGGCGGTTTTTAGGCCATTATTACGATAGTTTTCCTGTTTCCTGGGACTCTGGAACATGGTGTATGGCCAATTAAAATAGGGACTTGAGCAGTTTCATGTTGAGAACTTCGTAGTACTAGCGGATCGTTCAAGAAAACGTACTGTTTGAAGGTCTACTCATTTTTTCCATGTCGCATTTATGATCTGAGCGCGACGCTGTATCAGGTATATCAGGTGATCGCGCGAGTCCATTTCGACGGCATACGGGCGGAATTGTTGAGTTTGGCAAAGAGGGAGTTACGCGACACGGCCATGAGCTGGTGTCCATTTTTCTTCTGATTACTGCGACGTCTGTTGGCGACGGTCTCCTTGTTTTGCGGGGAAAACGAGCGCATACGCACCGCAATGGTATGAGGAATTTGTTGACATGCACACGAACCTGATTGATAACGATTTGTCTAATGACTCTCGGAACCTCGGTCAAAAAGGAGAAGAACGAGATAGAGGATGGGCTGTGAGAGAGATAGGGAGAGAGTTGGCGTGACGCGGAGAGATTTGACGTCGTCAGTTGTGGAGGAGTTTTAGTGTGGCGCAAGAGGAAAGCGAGAACGGAGATGGATGAAGTGAGTGAAACCCGCTCGGTCGCCGCTCATTGGTGGCTGACGGCTGCGGTGGCGACGACGACGACGTCGGCGCCGACGCAACGGAACGCGCAGACTCGTGTCTACTGCTGCTACTACTGCGGCTGTCTGTCTACAAACCACATAGGGTCCGACAGATGGGTGGTTGGACAGCTAGATCGCATAGCAGAGTGAACAAGTATCGAGTCGAGCACTCAAAGTGCTTGAGTCGTTCAACGATTTGTGCTGGACCGTGCGAAGGGACACGCGATCAAAGAATTTTCACTATAAATTTCCATAAAAATGAATGTAAACTGCATGCAGTGGGGCTGCCGAGAGGTTCATGAAGAGTTTTTTTGCAGGAGAACCGCGGTGAAACCCATAATTTTCAGAATGCCAGTTTCTTTAAACGAAAACATTTGCTTAGTCGCCGCTTCTTCACTAGGTGGTCTTAAAAGATATTACATTTTCCTAGATTGCTTTATCTTTTTAGATTATGATGTATTTTTTTTCAGAAAAAGTAAAAACTAAAGGTGCTGCCGGGTGCAGGTGTAGTTATCCATTCCTTATTTATTTATTTGCGCTGGCTTCCATTGGCCGCGCTTGAATGATTTACAAAACTTAGATAGCAGTCGGAATACTATCGATAATAAGATTGATTAGCAAATAGTAACATCTGTTAAAGTAGTACAATTTTTTACCAGTGCAAGTCTTTACCATTTTACACCATGGTCATAAAACCAAAGTCAACATAAATTGTCATATAAACGTAACTGAGAAAAAATTCTCTCTTACAACTTTCTGCTATAGCTGGAAACCTGCATTCACACAAGCAGAGGAGCGAAAGTTTCAAGAAAGCCCTTTGAACCTTTTATCGTTGAAAATTCCACATTGTATTGAAGGGTCTTGGGAGAGTTTATGGTTCAATTAGTTAACTGTGACGAGACGGACAGTTTCGTCGTTTTGAGTGATAACGCATAAGTTTACCGTCGAAAAATGCTCTTTTACCGCAGTTACGCAATACCAAACGAACTGTGCCTTCGTAGTCGCTTTTTTGTCTTCTACTTTGAGATACGTTGATTCTGTTGAGCTTTTCAGAAGGATGAACGGTCAAGTGGAATGCGAGAATTTCGAAGATCGTACTGATGAATTGGCTGACGATGGCGACAGTTCACCTTCGCCATCAGAAGACACGAAGTATGACTTTCCGTTGACGGAGATGAGCTACGATAACGACTCTGGTGAGTAGATTCGATGTCCTCGACTCATTTTTTTCGACTTGGAAATCCACTCGGTACCGGGTCATAATTATTGAACGCACTTTATGCTTCTTTTAAGTGTACTGCATGATTTTAGAAAGGACCCAGGAGTTCATGAAATTTATCTGAGTGCATCATTCTATCGCTATGTGTATCCATGCGACCGTTAGCGCGAAATCGCCAGCGAGGTTGGTGTGCTGAAATGTGGGTGTACAGGGGTGCGATTTCAATCTATCGGCGGTGGACCTCTCTTGGTGAGATGTTATCACGAGAGTGGATGAGGGCATGGGAGGTCATCCGCTCCGCTCTCTGTCATCAATCTCTCTCTCACACATAGGAGACCAAAAGAGAAGGGATGAAGGGAGTTACAACCTCGAACTGAAGGGAAGGGCCGCTGACACTAGTATTATTTACTCTCTTCAGTAATACGAGGATTATTCTCGTTCTATTGTAATTTTTAATGCTCTTCTTTACGTAAATTATTTTCTGATGTGGTTTCAGATAAGCCGTTCATCTGCGAACATGCGAATTGTAATAAGAGATTTGCGAACAAATTCCTCTTAAAGAAACATCAATTTATCCACACGGGACTTCGACCCCATACTTGTCCGTACTGCAGCAAGCGGTACGTTATTTTTCTGTGGTTTGCTACTGCTGTTTAATTTGTGCCACTCGTTTTGAACTGATTCTTTTCTATTAAATGAGTTCTTGCTAATAGAGCGATAACATATCAGTTATATATCGATATCAATTTTCGCTTTGAATAATGTGAAACGATTAACTTCCTATAATTCCAGTTGCATTTAGGTTCAATCGGAAAGATAATTTATTACGGCATAAGAAAACACATCTACAAACGAGTGTCATGGAGGATCGAAGAAGTCTACCGGAAGCGTTCAGTGGACTGTTTCCAGCATTCGGCGGCACATTAGGTCTTGACCTGAAAATGGACGGTCTGGACGCGATTAAAATCGAAGCACTAGATGCGTTCAGAGTCGAAAATAATGAAGACTAGTCTGTGCGAGGCGTTCCTCCCATGTAATCATCACGAATACAGTCCGGCGAGACACTGGAGATGAGTACAGTTCACTCCAGGGGCTCTTAAACTATCCCAGAGATTTCATCTGGTCCTATAAGTATTGTCATCCTTCAGGATATTTCGATTACTGGGATAACTTTGGCTAAACTTAAGTTTAAAATGAAACAAGGGTTTATTCCAGTCCCTTCAAATCAGCTGGCTATTTTGAAGACAGTATTGAGGAAACAATACAACTAATTACTTTTTGTATTTTTTACAGTTCCTTTTTGTCACATGTAGAGAAAATAGGGCTAAATAATTCGCTGGGTTCTACATTCCATCTTCATTTTGACTGTTAAACCTTTTTACTGTGACCTTCTGGCCCAATATTTTGAAAGGGGACCATAAAAAATTAAATAAAGTCTGTTCGGGATCAGAAGTAGCGTTCAAAAGTACTCCCCTAAACGCTTTTACGTGCGTAACTGTTTTGCTCAAAGATGACCTGAAATTTTTTTCAAAAAATTTCCTCGGTAATAACTTGAGGTTTCGAAAAAATTGACAGAATATAAAAATTGCGAGCGAATGGGTCGGAAAGGAAAAATAATGAGGCCATCTCGGCGAACTCTTTGACCACTACTGCATGTCTTTCTTCAGTGGAGCAACTCCAGTAAAGAAATAGTTGCCTTTGATTCAAATATTGATCGGATGAAGTCTCCAGGAATACGTTAGTGGAACAGTACGCCTCCCTTGAAACTTTTTGTATACAGCCCGACCAAAGATGGACCGTGTGAGCACAGGACGACAAAAATAAATATCTATTATATAACGCTGTGATTTGGTGCCGGTATTTAGGACGTCTCGTTCATTGCTTACCAAATAGAAGATTGTTCTCAACATGCAGTACCCTTGTGATATGTGTATTTCATTTCAGTTTCGTTTGCTTGCTTGTTCGTGTGGACATTTTTCTAGAAGGATTTTCACTCATATTTTTTCGGTTTAAACTTTTCTATCTCTCTCCTGAAAGTTATATCGCAGAAGCCCCATCCGAAATACTGGTTTCGTTCTGTATTTGCTGACAGCCATAATCTGAGTTCCAAAATTTGTGTTGTTATTGCATTATTCAGCACCTTTTTCCATCCGAAAAAAAAACAAGCTGTCTCTTCTTTGGCATCTTAAGTAAGTGTTCTAGAAGATGATGGTGTGAACTTGGCAAATTGAGGAACCACGTCGCCCCTCTTTCTCCCTCAACCGTGAATATTTTCTCACATTGAACAGTATTAATGTGCCTTACCGATTCCCTGCTGAAGATATCATAGTTGCCAAGTAGTTGAATTTTTAGTTCTGGTTTTACTTCTCCTCTTGACTGTCATATTCTATTTTATTTATTCTTCAATAAAAGGTGAACGCTAGGCTCTCCTTTTATCACGCTCAGCCATTTTTGATCAATGATGTACAGATTGTCATCATAGATTTCGCGAGCGCACACACGTTGCTGGAGTTTGGGTCTTGGCACAATTTTCTTATTCTATTAGCTTATTAGTTCTTAGTCCTCTAGATTTTTTTTCAACTAACTCTAATCGTGCCTAATGAAACCGGACGCCGATCTGCAATCTATGTGCCCATGTATCGACGGCTGCAGCCGCCGCTACGCCCTCTACCCCTCCCATAAAAACAAACACACCCTGCCGCACCCGGTCCTACACACAATGTCAACTAGCAGCTGCCCCAGTAAAACGGTTAGTCTGTGAAGTTAAATTCTGTCACATTATCACTAATCACAAACTTATCATTTATCTACTACCTCTCCCGGTACAATTTATATGAACTGCTAGTTAGCTAGTGTAACTTTGGGATGCGTCATTACTTGTGTGGGGAATCCTGTCCAGTGCAGACCTCCTTCCAGCACAATAGTATCACCTGCTCATCAGCCTGTCGCTCCCGCTTGATCATCGAATTGCTCGAGCGCGGCGCCCAGCCAAGTCTCCACTTCGTCCTGTCGCGTGCAAGAGTTGACCCTCCACGTGGACCTCTCTCGTCGCAGGCGACACGCTTTGTTCCTGCATTCACTTTCGTTCCAGAGCTTTCGGAAGACCCAGAATCTGACCCATCGGGCCGGCGGCTTCGATCCAAGGTCTTCGTTGTACGTCCCGAGGATCCAGTCGGTCGAACGCTCTGGTCCAACGGTCATCCGCAAAATCGCGATGCACCGTGGTCCGGGCCACCTATCTTCGATTCTTGGCGAAAAACGGGCAGCGTCCCTGATCTTCGATCGTGTGCTCACGGTGAGTTCTGCACTCCGGGATTCCCCTCTGCAACTTGCGGTACAGGGTTACTCCTAGCATCGTCCCTCTCGACCAGGCGGTTGGATAACGCCCACTGACCGCATGCTCGTCCTGCGCGCGCAGAGATCCAATTGCTTCTGGGCAATTAGGTTAGGGCGGAAGGACAGCGGAAATCGAGAGGTGGAGCACGGGAGCGAATGTCTTTCTGTTTTCTCACTACATCCTACGATAACTGGTATTACGCTCCCCCAAGCCGCTCGTTTCCCTCTGCGCCTGCCTCAGCTCTGGAGTAGAATCGTTCATTCATTGATTCGATTTTCCGACTAGGACTGTGTATATGTCGATCGATCCGCCTCGAACCGCCTCTTCGAATCCTGCTTGCTCGAAATGGCTGTCCTTCAATTCTGAATATTCTGTCCGATCCGTTTCAAGAGTGAACTCGACGTGAATAGATACTCTGTAGGATTACAGACAAGCAGGCAAGATTGGGCGATACGTTGCCAATGTCGCAGGTTCTCCCTTCTTGCTACCAGCAACACGTCCCTAGTGGTTTTCCAACGGAACTCGCGGTACCATACATGCTGCATCTCCATTCCCACAAGGTACAATTTAGAGTAATTGAGAGTGGACCAGCCATGTGAACGGGCACGAATAGAGACGTTACTCTTATATAAGTTAAATAGGGAGGGTGTGGTGAGCCAAAAGCCCACCCCAAGACTGCTTAACCAAGGTCAGCGTTTCGATTTACCCATAAATCCCTACGTTCTACTTACTGGAAGCAAACATGGATTCACATCACCTGCGGAGTCCCTCTTTTGCAAAAATCGCGAATGGACTTTTGCTCCGAAACCGGTTATGGGGCGCCCGCGCCCTATCAAATATAATTTGTGCTGACACGGCCCCCTTCAGTTACCTCAAATGCACATAGATGTGAAAGTTGCGCCAGGCCGGCACTCGTGATGCTTCGACTTCTAAAGGACCAAAGTTCCGGGCTTAGACCCGCCTAATAAACCCTTTAAAGTGGCTAGAAGTGCATCGAGGACGCCAGCTGCAGGCGGCTTCGGCAAGTCCCAGGATCCAAATCGCTGTCACTAAAGGCGATAGGAGCCAGGGACATTTTGCATTCACGCTTCCGCCTGTTAAGCGACACGGTCCGCCCACGTCGGCATGTTTTGTCGCCGTCGCAAAATGCCCTGGACTAGTGCTCTCATCTCTCGATTTCTTCTAGCCGGCTCTCACGCGTCACATTATCTCTCATCTCCCTGCCGGCTTTTGAACTTGGTTCCGCAGCGTAGAACAAAAGGCTCGTATTTGCTGTGTCTTTCAGGATTTTCCTTCCTTGTTTTCTCCACTGGCGGACACCCTCCCGCCCCTCCACATTGAGTAGAATTACCTCATCATTTTAAGCTTGAATCTTGCCTTTAAACACATTGATGCACGCAGTGATTTCCGCGCATGTCACACATGTACAGGGTGTCCCAAAATTATGGGCGCCTACATACAGCAATATATTTCAAGCTTTTAAACGGACGATGCTGACTGAATTTACACATAAGTTAAATTGCATCATCCCTAACAATATGGAACAAGTAGATATCGAAATACTTTCCAACGCGACTAATGCAAGCTCGAAGTCGCTTCTCGGGCTTCGCGCTTTTTGCACGCAGGAAATCCTCGTCTATTTCTTCTCAGGCTTCCTTCAATGTCCCTTCCAGTGACTCGAACTGTGACGAGGAACTTGACACGCCTTACCTTCGCTCAACGACCACACTGAGAGGTGTGGTGGGCGCGAACCTGGTGAAAATGATGGCCGTTCCTCGGCGCCAGCAAAGTCGGGCAACTGAACTCGGCACCACACTTGAAGGAACTTGGCCATGTAGGCCTTAGCACTTTTTTGCTGGAAACACCTCGGGTTATTTCCACTGTAGGACTCGTGCCGAGCCTTCATTATGTTTACCTCAAGTGTCTCGATTTGCTGATGAACTTTCCGAAATCAAAGGAAAACTAACGGCCCCATACCACTGGACGTGGTGCTCCTTTAAACCGAAATTGAGACCGAGTTCGGTGATTTGCAAACAATCTTTTGGCGTGGAGTAGCACTCCTGGTATTTCTGCCCGGAATGCAATCTTTCTGGCTATTGCCAATCCGCTCTGCTATGGAAATTTTTTCCTCATAAGA